GGCTCAGTGAGTCAGGAGTGACCCTCGGAGGCCTGGGATCCAAACACTTGATCCCAGTGTTAAGACACATAGGCTGATGGATTTACAGACCTATTAACAGCAGCTGAAATTATGGTATGGATCAGAGCGATAATAGCAATATGTGTGAGGTAAGGTAGAAGATGAATAGATTAATTGTGTATTTGCATGGTGGTGCGGATGCAGGCAAAAGAAGAATAATGCTAAGCTGGGCCTGGAGGAAAGAATAACTCCTTAGGTAGACAAGGTGGAAGCAAGGTTTCCACAAGACACAGTATATGCAGAGAAGCACACACTAAGAAATAGCCTGATGTGCTGGCCATCGCTTGGGTGTGTGGTTGGCTTCCAGATTGTGGAATTGACCAGGCAGGAGCCCATGAAGAGTCATGCTGAAGCATTTGGACTTTACCCCTAAAAGCAGTGGCAGTGCCGATCTAAAATAACTACACGTTATTTTTGAGAGGTCACTGGCAGTGGGAGGAATGGAGGAGTGATGAGGGGGAAGGTGCAGAGGTCAGCTAAGAGGTTATGCGGTAGTCCAGGTGAGAGATCTTAAGCACTTGGAACTAAGGTACTCACAGTAGGGTTGGAGAGGAAGTAAATCAGTTAGAGATTGTTAAAAGGTGGAACCAAGGGCTTGATGTTGGAGGAGGGAGAAAAGGATGAGACTAAGGGACTTAATGGAATGGATTGGGTGGCCAAATATAAAATGATGCCATTAGTGAAATTCTAAGGGAATTTGGAGTGCAGTGTTGTTTCTTAGCCAGGAAAGGTCTTTAGTTCCCTAAAGGTCTTTATTTGCCTTCCAGAATAGCATTCCTGGCCTAAGACAGACATCCTTGGGTAAATTTCCTGCGGGGCACAGTCAAGGATACAGTTCTCCAAGACCTCACTCCAGTTCCTGAGCTCCACATTTTTCAAGGATATAAGCTGGGTGTTGAAAATTCCCTGATACGTTATTAATAGGAGGAGACTAGATTGCGGACCTGCATTTTAAAATCAGATGCTGACTTCGGTGGCTCAAATGTTCCTATTCTTGCTAGCATGGAGTTTAGAAAAGAAACCCTCACCTCCCTTAGGGAGAATCTTTTAAAAAGACGAGGTTATATAGTGAGCAGCCTTGACAAAGCTCAGAGCCTCTCCCAACTACCACCCTTGGTTAGGTGTCCTCAATGTCGAGAGGAGTCTCCATGTAGCCCGAGCTCTTCCCAAAATGACAGGGCTGGGATCCTTCCCCACCTCAAGAGGAATCTTCTGCACTCACCCAGCGGTAGCAGGGTCAAGCACGTGGGCCCCCTTACAGGCTGGCCTCTAGGATCCTCCTAGAGAAGGGGATAGCCCAGGAGGCAGGAGGCCAACCTGCCAGCCGCATCCTAGGGTCGATGGTCAGAGGCAGGGGCACGCCCTGCGTCCCACTTCCACGCTCATAGGACGAACCAGAATCCGTTATCTCTACTCCGCCCTCTCCTCACCGACTACCCCACTGTCATGCCTATAAATCCCAAGAGCAAAGGGTAGCACGACTCCTCCCGCGCCCCATGCGGGCCCTGAAGCCGGAGTGCAGTCCCCAGCTTCCCCTGCAGAAGCCGCGCTCCACATTCGGTCGGAGGGTAGAGGGGGGCGCGAGAGAGCAAGTGGGCGGGCGTGCCATCCTCCGCATCCTCCTCCAGGTCCTGGCGCGCTGGGTGGGAGCGCTGCGCGGCGCCACGCTGCGTATCGCGGCCCACTTGCCGCCTGCCCCCTGCCCTAGCTGGGCCACCTCCCTGAGCTGCCGGTGGAGGGCTACGAGGCGCTAACGTTACGCTGTTTCCGGTTTTCCAGCGGGCTCTGTTTCCCCTCCCAAGGCGGCGGCAGCGGAGCGGCGGAGCCCCCCAAATGGCCTGGCCAGATGCGGCAGG